GTTCTTCACTGTGTAAATCAGAAAGGCATAATCTTGGAGGAATTGAGATGTGGTGCTTTTTTGTTTAACTGTGTGAATAATTTGATGATTTTTTTATTTGATTGAATTTTGTAATGTTAAAAACACAATTTGGGTTCTAGTTTTGTGTGGTCAAACCTCCCCCTTTTGGACAGAGACCTTGGTTTGCTTGGGGTAGGACTGTTTGTTTTAAGGCATTGGGCTGTATCACAAGCATTCCTGCAAAGCCACCAGCCAAATGCCAGTCAATGTGGCAATGAATGATCCATACTCCAGGGTTGTCAGCCTTGATCCGCACTATTAAACAAATTCCAGATAAAAGTCCAGAGGATCAGTTAGTAAATACATCAGTTTCCATACTGATTGGTCTATATTCACTCACTAACAAGGTAGCTCCCCCCAGGTACAACATGTCTAAATTTGTAGGAAATAATGAAAAATTCAGCTCTTCAAGTAGTAATAAATAGCCAGAATTTTCCTGGATTTAAATTGTGAATGAAACTCACACATCACGACAGACTGGATTTTCAAGTTGGTATTGAGCAGTTTGATAATTTGCATCAGTTAAGGTACCATTCCCTGTAGCAACCACACATGTCTGATTTTGAAATAAATTAGTATCAATACAAAAAATTTTCTTTGAGGATTCAAGAAGAATCTCACTGACATCAACACCATCTTATAGTTGAGATGTATCAAAATTCAAAATTCAGGGTGTGCAGATTTGGATCTATTAGCATTCAACAGTAACAGTGAAATGCAGGAAGAATACTCACGGAGATGAATGGGATGGTCAATTGCCTGGTCCAAGTTGTTCACCACAACATCCCAAATACCAGGCTCTGAAATTGTCTGTATTGCAACATCTGCTGGGTTTAAGTTTCCACTTCCACCACTCATAAGTTGAGGGAGAAGTGGCTGTGATTCACGGGCTGTATTTAAGGAGAGGTGGGATCCATTAGTCAAATAAACCTTTTCTTCACATCTGAATTTGAACGCACGTGTCCATGTTGTGTTGTCAACAAAAAATCTTCCCAGGATGTTTTTAGGACCTTTCTTTGATGAGTCAACAATTGTACCAAAGCTTGTATTGAAATAAACCTATCCCCCATTTCAGGATACAAGTGTATCCAAAGATTATCACAAAGTCAATTGACATTTAATCCATTGTTTTGAATCCAAGTTGCAATATACTGGTGATTAAACTTACTCTTCCATGTGAATTAAAATTCACGTTGGGGTTAATCAATGGTGAAAGTTTTGTTTGATCCAAGTCCACACATAGGCCATCCACATCATCTTTCCAATCCACAGTATTTGGGACTGGCATTCTGGCACGAGTGTTTCCATTTGCTAAAGGGGTGGAAGAAACACGAACCACAGCTAAAGCAGTGTTCCCTTCGGCAGTGTCCATTCCAGGAGCAACTTCAATAGGCCCAAGGGTCAGATTAATTTTTTTTTGTTTTACTTATATTCTAAAAGTACAAAAGGTGCTCACGCCAAGCAACTAGAAAGTTTTTGAACATGTGTGAGTTAATAAACCTAAATCAATTTTGACTGATAGTGATACTAAAAATGTATTTACTTACAACAGTCAGTATCCATTGCAGCCCTAAAATAGAAAGATTCTCCTTCAACATCTGATCTGGTGTCCAATATGACACTATATCTGTTTTGAAATTTGATTTGACTTATTATTTTCAGCATTGATTCAGGGGAAAAATAAGATTGGTGGGATGTTCTATATTACCTTTCTGCATTGTGCAGTGGAACTCTATGGAACAGTTCAGAGCTTCGAACAGGAGTGGCATCTGCCTCAATGACCTCTAGTGGGTGCCCATCAATTGAAACCTTGAACAAAGCATGGGAGCCTGCTTGTATTAATCGTAGCCTGGATCTTGCATTTGGTGGTACTTGAATCTCTAGTGGGTTGTGGTTGGTTTGACAGGGCTCTCCATTGCCATATTTCTCACAGTTGAAAAATCCAATTCCATTCAACAAGGCTGTAGTACGTTTTTGCCAGATTTGAACAAAAAAACAATCACAGAGCTGTATGTTAACTGTAGTTATCGTAATCTTTTGGGAGTTTTTGTTCACAAACCTGTATTTGGAGAAGGAGCTGCTAGAGTTCCATTGTACCCCTCAGTTGATAAAAGTTTACGTGTGATAGTGGTACTGGGACTATCATATCACCAATGAGATTTGCACATAAGAAACAATTTTTTTATTTTTTTGAGCTGAACAGATTACTTCTACTCACTCATGGTACCAATCACTAAAAGTGGAAGCACAAAGTTAAAACAAATTTAATTCTTTATAAATTTGAGGAAATATCAACATACTTCATGAAGATGATCTGTTCATTATCAAAATCTCTACCTCGAACCAGAGGATCCCTTGTACTATGAATAATTAATGGTCCAGAAACACCATCGGCCAATAATGCTTCATAATGTGCCTTCATCATGTAAAATCATTCAGTCATCAGCATTCTCCTCATGAACAACTATGATTTTATGGAGCAAGTGAAACATTTCTACAAAAGCTGCAAAGAACATACATGATACCCTTGCAAATGAAAATTTCAAAAAATACAGAAATTCAGTTTGGAGTTTGCATGTTTAAACTTGAGATTAAGCTGTGCAATTTTGAAATCTAAAAAAAAAAAAAAATCTTACAAAAGGTCCCAAATTGGTTATTAACAGTAAACTGATAGGTGAATGTAGTTCCGGGTTGCTGTGGGCATTGTGTTACCCCTGAAACACCATCCATCTTTTGTCCACAAACAAGTGATAATTGCCACATTCAGTATTGTGTGTAAACAGCTTGAGAAATGTGTCATACTCACCCATTGACTTCCATTTTGGTAAATACCTGAGTTTTAAAAAGTTTCAAATCAGTTTCCCCACCTTGATTGAGCATATTCAATTTTATTGCTTGCTATCACATACCATGCCAATGTATGCTAAGAGGAAGATTGAGCTCATTTTTGACATTAACCACAATGGTGTCTCCCTACAAATGCATTATAAAATTGCCAGTTTAGTCATGGAAAAATCCATCATGTAAAAAGGTAAACTAATGTCACAGGTACCTCATTTGCCTGAGGAGAATGAATTCAAGATATAATACAGTCAGAGAGGAAAGCTAAGTATATTTTGAAAAAAAAAAAATTGATTACATACTTCAATAAGTGGGCCGGGAAATTGGTTGTTGATAACAAAAACATTTCTACAGGTTTTTTCAAATTTCAATTTTGAGTTAGTCTTCCAATATATATCCATCAGTTCTGAAAAATAAATCACCTAACAAAACCATCAAATGCTGCTGTCTTGTTTCTGGATGAATGGAAAAAATGTTGAGATATGTCAGATACTGTCTCAATTGTGATAGATTCAACGTGGATTCCTTTTTGAACAACTTACTCTACCACCCAGTCATACTTCCTAACTTGAGGTACATTTGTCACAATATGATCTTTTTTAAGGACAAGAGATGGTGTATTAACTTGGACTGTTCCATCGGAGTAAGAGTTTGGTGGGCTATAATATGACACTTGTGCTGAGGAGTTCGACGACTTTGATGTGAACCCTGAATCGGTTTTTGTATAGGATAACACTCTTGAAGCACGTAAGTCCATCCCGACAGTAACTTTAAAAACTGAAACAGCCTGAAAGAAACAGGCGATGGTGCCATAGTAAACCATGACAGTGTCTTTCCTCTATCGCAAAGAACAAGCAGTAAAGGCCAATGTTGAATGTGTTTGGTTGACAAGAGCAGAACAAGAAAAAGATAAGAAAGAATGAAAGAGTTTGGATGTGCTTGGGAGTTGTAAGTGTCTGTTTAGCTGTCCATAGAAGAGAATGTGAGTTGAAGTGTTGCTGCTGTGGCAAAATAAACAGAAGGGAAAATCTACTTTCGATGAGCTCAGAATACCGCTTCAAAAGAGTGCTGCCGGTAGAAATTGAGTTTTCCAGTCATTGGGAAGCTGTTCTCTTATACAGACGAGTTTTCGATTTTTCAGCGAACGGTGAAACTGAGCCCCACTGGCGTCGGTCATCAGGCCAGAAAAGCTCTGTCAAGAAAAGTCAAGGGTAGCACAGAATGTTGTCAGGCCGTCTTAGCTGAAACCCGATGCAGTGTGAGTTGGCAGAACAATCGATGCAGTGGGATGGTTTGTGTGACCTCATTAGGTACCTATTCATGACTTCGATCTGCCTTGGGTCGCCATGAGGATATCGATGGATTTTGGGACCCATTGTCCTGCCGAAGACTTCGGACTCATAAAATCCGTGCGAAGGTCCATTGAACCGGCTAAAAACATGGATCCTCCTTCGAATGTAGCGCTTACATTGTTGTGTCCAGGGTGTTTAGGTCAAGCGAACCGAGAGCGATGATACGTGTTCTCATGTTATAGTTACCATCGCCGGGGAGCTCAGTCTGATTGTAAGGCTGGAGATAGCCTCCGCTCCGGTGCCAACACAGCACCTCAATGAATATCTCAATATTGTTCGGCTTCGGCGTTTTGCCCGTGGATCCAACAACCGAGGCCAAAGTTGCATGTGGCTGAGCGGAGAGTGCTAGAAAGTCACTCGTGCGATGTGTGGCAAGCACAGTGATTCTGCAAGTTTACAGGATTCACCCTCATTATAAGGAAAACATTTGAGCCCCATGTTCCATGTTCTGCAATTAAGGGGGTTCACTTACTGCTGATGTTGACCATCAGCAGTCGAACTTTGCTAGACTAGCTGTTTTAAGGTTTATGGGAAAACAAAAGAGTTTAGTGGGAGGCTCCCCTTTGGAGTCAAAATCCCACAATTAAGGTTCATGAAGTTTGTGCATCAGCAAACAAACCTTGTTCAAGACCAGCAAAGAATTTGGTGCAACGTGAACTGCCCTATTGACAGCGAGCTTTGATCACATCAAACCTAAAATTAATCAATCAGCAAAAACATCTCCGTTGGCCTGAACATCTAGGGACGCCAACTGTACTGTTCTGGCCCGCCACATCTTTTGGCGCAAAAAGCGCATCAAAGAGACTTCCTTTCTGGTCCGCTGCCATCATAACATTAACAGACTTTTGGTCCTATGCTACGTTGCAGCACTTCTAGCGTTATAAACTGGTAAATAATGGTGTAAGGCAGGATAGTGCCAGTGGGCCCTTTTTCCCCACCATGTTCATTAGTGATGGACTATGGTGTCAATATTTGCGGTTTAAAGCTGCTATAAAACCCAGTGATTTTGGGCATATTACCCTGTGCTACGCTACGCGCGTTGATACTAATAGCATTGCCTCACTGTAGGTTAACGTCATCTTAATTCATCAGTCAGAAGTGAGTGAGTGAATTTGCACCTCCAAATTATCAATATTGGGTAGTCACCCCTGTCACCATGTGAAAATGTTTGAGCAATTCAAATATGATGCCAATTGTCTACTACTGGGTATCTCCTATTGCAGATATTGTTAAAAATCAGATGTAAGAAATAAAACACTGTTGCCATACGGCCATTGTCTACAATTGCACTACTCAGTGTTGACATTCTGTGTGTTGAATTAGCCTGGATACCATGTAGCCAGCTCTTCTGGCTGATCTCTTTGTTGAAGAATTTCTGCTAACCCATTTTCTAACACCAATTCAACTGACACTGTCTCACTCATACTATTGTTTTCTTATATTTCATCTTTTTAGTCAAAGTTTGTGTCCAATCAACATTGCCTGAAGTTGATTGAAAATACATACCAACTAATTAATTCTGTTTTGACAAACAACATCAAATTCTTGACATTTCTGCGTTTTTAGGTATTTATAATCTTTTTTGGTCCTGGTTAAGACAAAATTCTTGGATCAGAATCTGTTGATCACATGCTCTTCTCACACAATTTTGGATGTTTGGAAAGTCAATTTTGTATTTACTTTGCACTTCCACTGACACCTTGAGTTAAAATTCTAACAAACACTGTTGTACATACATCGATCTCCTTGATCCGTTCATCTGAGAGATGTTGAGCAGAAATTGCAACACCATTGTACATGCATATACTTCATACAAGAGAGACATGTTGCAAAAGAATACAAGGAAAGAAAATGTAAATTGAAATCTGAAAATGGAAATTGAAGTCTGAAGACAAGGCAAGTTTGGCAAATGGATCAGGACCCGTGTTGCATCTTCCATTATCCACTTTTTTAGTACAGATCAAGGGTATACTTGGTTGTGGAAAGGCTACCTTTCCCCTACATAAAGTGAAGTAAATTGGAGGTGTCAACAACAGCAATAATTTGAAAAAGAAGAGGGTCAAGTGTTTAAAAGGAATTGTCGATACGAACAGTGAAGATTTCGATTCCGGCGCCAACGCTAACCAGATACTCGTCCTGACTAACCCCGAAAGGTCCAAGGTTTTCTGGATACAGATTAGCACAAGAAAAGAAGAAGAAGAAAGAGTTAACATTGAGCCTGAGGATAGATAGAAAGTGGTTCAGAAAGCTTACTCAGTAGCTCTTTCATGTCCGCGCTGAACGACGTAAACTTTTGGTTTTCCTGGGCTGGGAAGACGGAAACTACCGGGACTTGGGAGGTGCCTTGCCAGACTTGGAATTCGTACTTTCCACCGAGTTTGAGTGTGCCGCCATTTGCTTGGGCGCGTGCTCCGGCGGGTCGTGCTCCACCAATTGCGCTTAACCAGACCTGTTTATGAAGAGATACATGCATGGGTGTGAGTGCGAAGAACAAGACGGATTGTAAGGAGGTGTTGCAAAATGTTGAAGAAAAAAAAAAGAGTTCTAATCACCATAATTTCCCTGGAGGCGCACTCCTGCTTCTGACAGGTAGGATCCTTGGACAAAAATATATCATAAGACTATGACACGCGAAAAACAAATGAGCATCTCTGCGTTCTTTCAGTGATTGAAAAGAGCTTGAAATGAGCGGACTGACCACATCCGCAACAAGGTCTTTCGAGTCCCCAGTAAGTTGCCAGTCCCAAGCAGTGTTGAATACCTTTGCATTCTTGACTTGGATTGACTGCGTTTTCTGTCCTCCAGTCAACGAGGGTTTGACCCAAGCTACATTGGTGTCTGTACGATCGGTGGGGAGGATAGAAAACAAGAAATTGTTAGACGGTTCTATAAACAGTTGAGATGAAACCTCTGATGATTTTTACAACCATGTTAATCGACTTTAAAAGCGTGGACACTTACATGCCTTGACCTGCTTTGCATTCTCAGGAGCAGACGGTAGGTCAAATGTCGTTTGCCAAGCCAGGTTACCATTCTTGAAGCTTTTACACGTGATTTCACTCTTGCCTGTGCCCAGAACTTGATCACCTACAGAATAAAAAGCAACAGATCAGGAATGTGCCTACGATGGGGTAATTAACAGACCGCTATAGAGGCCAAAGAATAAGAAATACTAGGATTGGAAGGAGAGTATTTACTTTTCCAGATGTTCTGATAAAGCACAAAGTTCTCGGCAAGCATTGAGTTCTGCCACGGAGTTTTTTCTTTGCTCCATTCCATTTTTTCTCCTTTGCACTTTGATTCATCGATTTTTCCCATCGTCTTCGCCACACTATTCTCGGCGCCAGTGTTGTGATCACCTCCAGGTGGGGTGGAGCCTGCTGGAGAGCACTCCACTGAGGCTAAGGCTAGCAAGGAGACAAAGAATAAAGTGTGCTTCATGATGATGTGAATATTTCTTAATTCTTTATTTAGTTGGTCGGGGACTCAGTAAGAAGATGGATGGTAGAACTCTGTGATATGCACCAGAGGGGATGTAAAATCTTGGGGCGGTTATGAGGGAGAAACAAAAAGAGCAAATTCAATTCGGATAGAACTGCAAGAGAACAACTTCTGGTAGGTGCAGCGGGTTGTTGCTGAGTCGTAAAAAGCTGAGGAGAGCGCATCTATTTATATTAATGATGATAATATTTTTTTTTGTAGCGAGTGATGGACAGTCCACGCTGGCATCGACCAGCAGCCGAGCAAAGCGTTGCGTGAGTGAGCAGAAGCCAATCTGATCAGGACATCTTTACTGAAACTTGATAGAAATCTGGTCTTTCCAGGGGAAAATGAAGGCAGCGATGACATGTTTACTCGATCAGATTTAATGTGGGTCGTCATGAAAACCTTGACGGACTCTTCGGAGTGAAACTTGTGAGCCCGATCCGTGGACGGCTTGAGACGAGCAAAACATGACTATGTACATCCGCTCGGTTGTCTAGTCAGCCGGCTGAGAAGGCCTCTCTCGCCTGATTGTCCTCTGGGCGCGCGCAATTAAGTGTTACTCGTCAAGACTCGCAACTTACTGCAGTTCAAGCCGGTCGGATGGTATGCATGAGGTTTTCAAACCTTGGGGAAAGCTCATCTGCCTAGATACATGACATCGGGGGTTTTGCTTGATTGCAAGGTCGAGTTGATCTTTGCCCCAAGATTAAAAATGTTTCATGTGCGTTTCGTCCATGAGTCCGACTACCAGGAAGCAAGCTTGAACATATCAATTAACCTTGCGGTGCGAAGGGTGATGGAAATCCGCTCAAATGGATGAATTTCTTTGTTTTGGCGATGGTCAGTGAGGAGGTGTTCGTGAGAATTAGCTGAATGAGGAAATGTGGTTGTTGTTGAGACTTTTGTTTATGATCACAGCAGCTGCTTTGAAGCTGTTGAACCAGGTATAAGCATATCTACATATGTGCATACATCCAGCATATATGCTTATACTGGGAGAGAACACATCCCACCAGCACATTCCCTCCGCATTTCTTATGACCAACCACTCACAAAATCACAAGATAAGAAAAAGATGACCCAACAAACAAGCCAGGAATGGATCGACCTACTCGAATGGCTGCAGAGGAACGAAACCAATACGGGAGAATTCAAAGCAACGATGCGTTCATCGACCAGCAGTAAGTCCAACCTCCGTAAACAAATCCATCCCACCAGCTCAATGTGTCCAACATGTGTGTGTATGTGTGTCTGTGTGATGCAGGAGTTTGATACGTATTCAACCCTCCTCCACTAGAGGGTCGCAGCCTGGTAGCCACGGAGGACATCGAAGTAAGCCCACATTAATCGCGATAGGATTCCAAGTAATAAAACATGTATTCCCTCAAATGCCGACCACCATCGCTCCAATAACCACCATCAGGAATCGACATCAATCCTATCCTTACCAAGATCAGTCCTGCTAGATACCAAGACGATACCCCAAGAGTTCGTTGAGAAGCATTGCTTGGAGCTCACTTCGACTCAAGCCTTGAGCCTATTCCTGACGGTCTATCGATCGAGTCGACGGAACTGTGCAGACCCGGACCGATTCGAATACCCATTTGGATGCTACTTATCTACCCTACCGGACGACCTATCGGGGATCCCATTAGTATGGCAACTCCGCGCGATCTTTGGAAAGATGGACGAGATCGATCCAACCGATCTGGCCCAGCTCGATCGGCTCCAAACTCATGTCCGACCAGCCCCTCCTCCCACAGATTCCATCAATCCCTTCGACTTCTACCAGCTCATGACGCCTACCACTATCAATCAAGCCGAGGAGGTCCTGCTCCGGTTCATCGATGATTGGGCCGCCTTGGTCCCGACCTTACGCGACTGTTATCCTGATGCTCGTCTTTGGGATCTGCTTTGGGCGTGGCTAATTGGTCGGTATAATTACTCTGATTCTTATTCCTATATCTTCCTATGGCGCTAAATTTTTATTTCTATTTCATTTTGTTTGTAAAAACTGATATAAGTTAATACTAGATGTGTATCATTCAACATTGGAGCCAAGAAGATGGCGGACAATATCTCACTGGCCCCAGCTTTTGACATGGTACGAATAAAGCCGAAAGTTGATCGGGGCGATGATCTGATAAAAATTAACGCGAGCAATCTGTGACCACAGGCGAACCATTCGCCGATCAGCAGAGTGACGGCGGTAGCCAATGAGCAGACACTGACGATGTATTCGACGCAGCCTGCGGGGCTGGGCCCGGCGAACCCGGCCCTGAACTTCCCCCACTCGTCCCCATCCGATCAGCCCTGCATGATCAGGAAAGGCCAAGAAATCACTTTCTCGTATGGCCCCCATGCCAACTCAACCCTCTTGACTGAGTACGGCTTCGTCGCCTCTGAACCTAATCCTTGGGACTCTATCGACGTCACCGACCATATCGTCGCCCTTTTCAATCGCTCTGACCCTACTCATCTCAAGAAGATCGAACTGCTCAAGAATACAGATTACTGGGAGTAAGTTTTCTCTGAATTATAATCTATATACATTTTCCCTACCACGTGCCTCAATGTTTTCTAACCTTCGTATTTTTTTTTGTGTGTGTTTGTATGTCAAAACAGGGACTACACGATCCAATGTGATCCTCTAGAAAGCTCGCACCGGAACCTAGTAGCGTTGCGCTTACTGCACACGCCCGAGGGGCGACTCTCGGAATGGGAGGCCCACATTGACGGGCTAGCCGACGAGTTGAGCCGAGACATCGAGCAAGCCGTCCGACGAACTCTGGACGAGCTCTTCGATCAACTCCAGGCCAAGTCTCGCGCACTGGTCCAGAAACTCGAAGGACCAGACATCTGCTTTGCCAAGTTCGGCTTGAGTGTTTACTCCGCTCAATGCCTCGTAACTCTCGCTGCTAACGAGTTGAAGGCACTATCTTCTTATTCCCCTTCGACCGACTAAAACATCCCCACGATCGATAAGCTGTATTCACTAGGACCGCACTTCATTCGTTCATTTCTTGCTGTCCCTGACTTACGTCATAATCATCACCACTCGGTGTGATGCGCACATTTTTCAATGCACGACCGT